GATGATGATCTGATCTGTAACACACACACACACACACACACACACACACACACACACACACACACACCCTCACCTAATTCACAGTAAAAAGACTGAAAAATTCCTTTTCAGTCGACTGACTCACAGGTCCACCCCTTTCTTCAATGGACCCCTTTAGGGAATTTTAATGCAGGAACCTTTAGGGATCCTGACAGACCCCTCTCAGCCACCCAAGTGAGGGACCACAAGAGCTCAGCCCAAGCAGTGTCTCACAGCGTCAAAATAGCCCAAAGGGACAGTCTTCGTGAGGCAGGCGGAGCATGGCCGCTGAGCTAGCTGACGCACGCTGAAGTGCTGCCTTGTCCTCTGTCCTCCTCCACGTCGTCCTCGCAGCTGCTGACCTTTCAAGTCCCCGGTGCCCTTCGACTCCAACTCACCGAGGGTCTCCCTCCGCTTCAGCAAACGCACTGTCTGTTCCTTGCCAGGGAATTAGACGCTGCCCTCTTGTGCACTCTCTCTCTCTTTAGCGTTGCAAATTTTTATTATCTTTTTTTTAATAAATCATTTTATTGGGGGCTCTTATAACAAGCCATACGTCGGGGGAGGGGTGGGGGGGTGGAGAGCAGCGGCGGCGGCAGAAAATTAAAAAAAAAACAAAAACAAAAAAACAAAACAAGCCATACGTCATCTACTTGAGTCCTTGCTATCAGCTTCTCCTCCCACCCTCACCCTTGAGACATGATAAATTATTATTACTTACATATCTTGCACCATCAGATATCTTCCATCACCCACTTTCTGTTGTTTGTCCCCTCGGGGGTGGTTATATGTTAATCACTGTGATTGATTCCCCCTTTCTCACCACCCCCTTTTTGTGTGTGTAAAAAAAATGTTTTTAATAATTTTATTGGGGGCTAATACAGCTCTTATCACAACAATCCATATATACATCCATTGTGTCAAGCACATCTGTACATTTGTTGCCCTCATCATTTTCAAAACATTCTCTTGAGCCCTTGTTATCAGCTCCTCATTCCCTCTTTCTCCCACTTGTGCCCCCACTGTGTTAGTCTGGGTAAACTAGGGAAACAAATCCACAGAAACTCATGTATAAGAAAGAGTTTTATATAAAGGGTAAGTGTACATTAAGAAAGCATCCCAACCCAGTGCTGTCCAAACCCCACATCAGCCCATATGTCCAACACCAATTTACAAAGTCCTCCTCCATCTCACAAAACACACGCAGTGACACCAGCTTCAGGAGGAAAGTGGAATCAGTGAGTGTGTAAGCATCTCAGCGCTGGCAGGGGTCTCCACACGGCTGCTCCAGCACCCAGGGCTGCATCGGGGTAGGTCCATGTGGCTTCTCCTCAGGGATGTCTTGCAGGAGGTCAGCCTTGCCAGCTGAAGCAGGGAACTGACTAAGGCAGCTGCACCCTGGTCTGACCATCACAAAGCAAGAGACCCAAGAACTTGGACCAAGAAAGGTGAGGCTCACCGAGCCATTTATCTCTCTGCCCTTCAATTAACCCCACATGTGTTTATCGGCCAGGTTGGCACAATAAACCTTAACTATCTCACCCACCTTCCCCTTACCTTCATGGTAGCGCTACTCCCATTATTGTTCCTGAGGGGTTTACCTGTCCTTGACTCCGTGTGTCGAGAGCTCTTATATGTACCAGTGTAGATGCTCTGGTCTAGCCGGAGAGCCATAAGGATTGCTGATTTTGAGAAGTAGATCTCCCGACCTTTCTTGCTGGTCTTAGTCTGGCAGCTCTGCTGAAACGTGTCCACCCGCTGGCATTTGAAACAGGAGTGGCATTACTTCCAGGATCACAGTAACACACAAGCTACAACAGCATGACAAACCAACAGACGGGAGGTGGTCTCCTAGCCTAGTTCCTGTATTTCACACATGATGAAGTGAAGTCTCAAGGGTGGTTAGGAGCTAGCACAGTGGGGAATTTCAGGACACTTCCAGCCCTGGGGATCAGTCCTACTCTGAGCCTAGGGATGCAGAAGCAGGAAGCTGCCCACGCAGGGGTCTTGCTCTCTCATTTGCTCATTCCTTCGGCCAATTCTTTTCTGAGTGTGTATCATATGCTAGGAGCCTTGACGGTGCAGTGGTTATGCATTGGGCTTCGAACCAGGAGGTCAGTGGTTCAAAACCACCAGTCAGTCACTTCTTGGAACAACGATGGGGCTTTCCGTTCCAGTAGGGTCAGTCTCACACTCACGGGGGCAGTTCTGTCCTGCCCTGTCAGGTCCCTAGAGTTGGAATCGACTTCAGGGCAGTGAGTTTTGGTTTATCACCTGCCGGGCGCTATGCTAGGTGCCGGAATGATAACCTGAATTGATCCTTGGTGAGGGGAACTAACAGTGTGGTGGGAGGGGCCGGCAAGGAATACACGTGTGGTGAGGGAACCTTCTGGCATGGTGGAAGGGTTTAATGTCTCCCTAAGGATGTGGGTTGTTTGTATCTGTTCAGCATGCATGCGTAACATCATCCATCAAAACTCATTGAATTGAGCACTATCAATTTGTGCATTTCATTGTCAATTTTACCTAAAAAACTGTAAGGAAAAGAAGAAAGGTCTGAGAGGACCATGCAGGGTCTGGTCAGAACTTGGTGGCCTGAAGCAGGCCAGGGGCTGACGAGGTTGCCCTGGGTACAAGCTCACCCTGGTCAATTAGCTGTCGCTGACGTTTCCCCAAAGGGGTGGAAGGCCCAGACGGCCCAGGGGCCTCGCTGTCCAGAGCTCCTGAAGAGCACTGAGGAGGGAGTGGGGTCAAGTCCATTTTCTCTGCCACTGAGCCAACTCTGCCTCATCAGCCCAACAGGACAGAGTAGCATGTCCCTGTGGGCTTCTGAGACCGTGAGCCTTGACGGAAGCAGAAAGCCTCGTCTTTCTCCCGAGTTCCACTTCACAGGGGGGACACCGAGGCTGAGTGGAGCTGATCGGAGGAGAGGCGGGCAAGTGGAGGGAGGCTGGCTTCTAAGGACTCCTCAGCAGGGTGGAGTCGTATGGTGCTGTCCCGGGACCAAGTGGAAGAGCTGGAGTTTGAATTGCTCCCCACACCCCATCAATGGGCCTTGGAGGAACTCGTGGGAGGTTGAGACCCTTGATGTTTGTGGAGTTGGTTTCTGACCCATAGGGACCCTAACGTACAGCTGAACAAAGCTCTGTCTGATCCTGTGCCGCCATCCTCGCGAGCCTGCGGTGGCAGCCACTGTGTCCAACTCATCCCCTCAAGAACTGCTCACTGACCCGGAGCCCCGGCCGACCCCTAGCGAGCCTGCAGGACAGGGCAGAACTGCCCCTGCGCGTCTCTGAGCCTCTAACTCTGGACGGAAGTAAAAGCCCCGTCTTTCTTCCTCTCGGAGCAGCTAGTGGTCTGAAACCACCAGACTGGTGTTTCCGCCAGCAGCTCAGGGCTGAGCCATTGTCACCAGGACCCCTCCATTGCATCAGGGCCTCTTCCCCTTTGTCATGCCTCGCTGCTTTACCAACGTCGCAGTGGCCTCCCCAGAAAGGGAGAAGGCCTCTCACGCTGTCATGTCCCGTCCTGGTCCTGCTGCTGCTTGTCAACTTCCTTGAGCCCAGGCAACAGGGCAGACCATTTGCCATCCCTTCCAGCGGGGCAGGCCGAGGTGCTGGGACAGCCTGGGTCCCAGGGCAGACTCCGGCCGGCTGTCTTCCTCTGAGTAAAAGGAAGAGAGGAGGTGTCACAGGCCAAGCACCGGCTTTGAAGCCAGGCCGGCCTGGGTGAGAACCTGCTTCTTTCTCCTCCTGCGAGTTACTGATCCTCTGAGCCACGATTCCCTGAGCCTTCTTCACCGGCGCCCGCTCCGCGAGCATAATGTTGAGCGCTCTCTGGATGGGACGCGATGACAACTTTGATCATGGTCACGAGCTCTTTGGACGTGTTATCGGGAGAGACTCATCCCGGGGCATGACATCAGGCGTGGTACATGGAGGGGCAGTGAAAGAGAGTTAGCCCCTCAACCTGATGAGCGGACGGCCGCTGCCACAACAGTGTAACTGCAGTGGTGAGGCTGGCGCGGGACCGACCCGACGGTGTTTCTGTCTGTCGTACAAGGATCCCTGAGTTGGAAGCCCTCGTGGCACCTAAGGACAACTGTTGGCTAGGAGCCCTGGTGGTACAGTAGGTTGTGTGTGAGGCCGCCAACTCCAAGACCAAGAGTTGGAGACCACCAGCCCTCACAGGGGCAGTCCTACGTCCCACGGGGTCGCTCTGAGTCAGCACTCACTTGGTGGCACCAAGGTTGAGCTTTGTGAACGGTTGGTTGCTCGTGGTCCCGGGCCACAGACAGCATGGCTGAAGCCAACCCGGTCCAAACCCGCTGCTATGGAGCGGCCTTTTCACTCGTCCAATTTCCAAGGCTGCACATCTTTGCAGACTGCCTCATCTTTCTCCTCGGGGGTGACTGGTGGATTTGAACAGCCAGCCTCTCCATTTCCTAGCTCAGCCTTGTAACCCCTGTACAGACCACCGGGGGCCCCAATGACTGGGACCGGGTTCTAGAAACTGAGTAGGATGTAAACACTGAAATCCTCGTGACGTTTTCGAGCAAGTGTGTCTGTTAGGAGCTTCCGAACTTCCAGCTCCACTTCTGTGGCGCTGGCTCTCCCAGGCAGGGTGGATTGCTAGGGCCCTGCTCAGGGGCACCGCTCCCGCCGCCCACCCCCTCCCCCCGCCGGCCCCTCCCTCTGACTCACCCACATCCTCTCCAGGCTGGGGCTGGGCTGGAAAGGGCGCTCGCTCGCAGGCAAGTAGCATTAGGGAGTCAGATAGCCGGGGTGGGGGTAGGGACACCTGGGCTCCCCCTGTGGGGTTGGGTGGGTGCGGCTGACCAGGTGATGCCCCCTCAGGGTGCGCCCTTCCCCTCCCACACGGCGGCTTGTGTCTAATCGTGTCTCCTCATTTCCAGCAAACAGGGAAGGGAGAGGGCGGTCCGGGGCGGGTCTGGGCGGGTCTCGCCCACAGCAGGAAAAGAAAAGTTTCATTTTACTCCTTTTGGGACAAATCATCCTGCTGAGGGAGACCAGAGGGGAAAGGAAACGGAGGGGAAAGGAAAATGTGAGTCTTTGTCTAAAAAAAGAAAAACAATCAAGTTTTAGAGTCTTGTTATCAGATAACGTCTTTAGATTTGCTCATTGAGTTCCGAAGTTGTTTAAATCTCGTACCTGCTCTTTTGTTTCACTGTTAATACGTAGACACCACACCCTGCCCCGCCTGCTGTGGAGGTGGGTGGGTGGGGAAGGTGGGCCTTTCATCTAGTGAGCCTCCAAGCTGAGTGTGGGCAACAGTGATTCCCATTCATCTTTGTCCTCTGGTCGGGAACCTGAGAGCCACCCTGGCCCGAAGGCAGATTTGTGGTTTAACTTTCCATCTTCCTGTTGCTACCTTAGGAGCTGGGGGAGGGGCTGACGGACTGCAGCCCCCCAGTGAAGGCTCTCTGCTGGGGTGAATGGCAAACATCAGGGAAGAGAAAGGGGGCCGTGTTTAAGGGGCATTGACTGTTGCGTGAGTGCCACCCTACTGTTTGCACCCTGGGTGACCCGGGGAACGGCTTCTACAGGGTTCTCTTGGCTCGCGGTCTTTCGAGAAGCAGGTCGGCTCCCTCGTGCCGCCCCGTGGGTTTGAACCGCTGCTTTTCCAGTTAGCCTAACCTAACCCACCGCCATGCCATCGACGGACTCAGAGTGAACTGTGGGACCCAGCAGGCCTGCTCCCCAGGGCTGCCCAGGCTGCAGACCTTTCCTGGGGCAGCAGAAAAGGTTCCTTTTCCTCCTGAGACGGGGCTGGCAGGGGCCAGTGGCTGACCCTGCAGCCCACCGTGCCACCGGGGCTCAGCCAAGTTCTTCCCTGTCCTGCAGGCTCGCGGGCCGTGAGTCGGATTCGAGGGCAGTGAGTTGGGTTTGCTGTTTAGGACTCACCACAGAGCCCCAGGCGTCCTCCCTCCTCTTGGTGCCCGAGTGACAGATTGGGCTCAGGGAGGCTCCGTGAAGAAGTTAAGTCTGAGGAAGCAAGCACAGCTCATAAGAGACCAAACTTCTCATCGGGTCCCACCCCACTGAGATCTGCCCAACCTCTGGACCCCGAGGAGACCAAGCCCTGTGGGATGTGCACCCAGATCCCCGTGTTTTGAAGGCGGGCAGTTCGGCTGAGGGGGCCCTGGACTGCCAGCCGTATTCTCGTCACAGCCTCTTTGCTGTGGTTCAGAAGTGTTAACACATGGTTGGATTGCGTTGCTACGGGAAACATTCATACAGTGATTACTATCTCACACACACACACCTTGTCCAGTCAAACAAGGGGGGTTCGGTTTGGCGGTTGGCTAGTTGGTAAGGTTCATTCCGGAGCTTGCTTCACTTCCCCAAACTGGCCCCTGGATGGAGCCGCGACTTTGAGCAATCTAAAAGCAGCCCGTGGACCTAGACCTGGGTCCGGGGAGGCCTGTGTCCGGGGCTCGAGGCCAGGGTCCCGGGTAGCGGAGCCACGTCCATGTGGTAGTTATAACTGGCCGCCTCCCTTCTCCTGGTGCCTCCCTCATTTGGCCCCCTGCTTCCTGAGCCACCAAGGACCAGTCACCCGGCTCTCCACTCGATAGGTTGAGGCTGATGTGGGCTGGCCAGGCGGATGGCTCCAGGTGGAATCAGAGCCACACTTTCATCACTGGGGCCAAGCCTGTGTGCCAGCAAACCGCTGGACCCGCATGGCGGCTGGCATAAGGTAGAGCTTTGATTCAGAGCCCAGACTGCATGCCCGGCCCTGCGCCACCCTAGCTGCTGCTCTGTGGGGGCCCTTGTCTCGGCACTGTGCCAATCTGGTGTAGGGGAGGAACATCAAAGGTGGTTTCCGGGGGTCTCACCAAGTCTTGAAAAAGAGTCAAACGTAACCATCTGGAGGAAGGAGGAAAGTGGTGACCCCACCCAGGAAATGTGACCAGCCCAGTGGCTGCCGGGCTGTGCAGACGTGCTTTCCTGAGGCTGGTGAGTGGGGACACGGCCAGGCCCACCTTGTTGGTCCAGACAGGGCTCAGAGCCAGTGGGCCTGTCCTAGACTCCAAAGACCCTCCACCCCTAACTCTGGGGGACATCGCCTCAGCAGGGCTGGGAACCCAGCCCAGGGGTGGGGCAGCCCTGGAGGTATTAGAGGCAAGCGAGAAACCAGGGTGGAGCTAGGTGGGGCGGCAGGAGCACTTGAAAGCCAAGGAGGAGGAAGAAAAGGGGTGCATGGTGAAAGCAGGGAGGGCCCTGAGGGAGCAGTGACCTGGGGAGGGGGCCAGCGCCTGCGGCGGGGGCTTTCTTGGGTGGCAGGCAAGACCTGGGTGTCAGGGTCTGGAAACACAGCCACTTGTGGCCGGAGTGGTGTTTCTCAGCCCAAAGCCCTGCAGACTTGGCTTTGGTGCTCATCCTGTGCTGGTGCGGCTGGAGAGGGCTGTGCTCAGGTGGGGCCGGCCGAGCCACCTGGAGTCACACACTCAGGTTTAGGTGAGTGTTTTGCCCGTCTCGGGGGTCAGAGGGAGGTGGAGGTGGAGTGCAGTGTAGGGTTGGAGTTCTCTGGGCCTCGGGCCTCGGAGTCGGTAAACCCCGTGTCTAGCCAGGGCACCTGAGAATGTCCAGCAGGGGGGCTTCCGCATAGTTTCCAGGGTAGGGTCTCCTGTTGACACCAACTCCCATCCTTCTGGGGGCAAACCAGGACTGTGGGGTGAAGGGACCTGGTGGAGGTCCTGGAATCTGAGGGCAGAAATATGGCTGGCTGGTCACAGGCTGGCTGCATTCTATATTTCTAGAGCTATTACCACAGCAATGACACACACCCCGTCCGGCCTTTCCCCAGCCCCCTAGCTTGTGTGCTGATTTCTAGAGGGGAGGCGGAGATGGCCAGGCAGCAGAGCACGCATTTCCTCCTCCCCACAGTCTGCGCGCTCCTGGCGCAGGACCTTGGGGCCTGTGCCAGCCTGTTGGGATCTTGTGCTCTCCCCCTGGGCCCCGCCTGCTGGAGCCCACAAGAACTCCCCGGGCTTTCCTCCAGCCCACTACGTCACCTAGCCTTCTCCTCCTTTCTTGGAGCACCTGCAGGGTGCCGGCCCCGGATGAGGTCCCAGCCAGGGCCTCCAACACTCTACAAAGAACTCACGGCCCTGCAGTCCACGCCGACTCGAGCGGCCTCTAGGACAGGGTAGAACTGCCCTGTGAGTTCCAGAGAGTGGAACTCCTGATGGGTTGTGCCCACATCCCAGAGGAACGAAATGCAGTCCCAAGTCCAGGCTGGCCCACGACCCCCCCCCCACCAAGTGTAAAAGGAGCCCTGGTGGCATCGAGCTTACACATGGGGGGGGGGGGGGGGGGGGGGGCTGTGAATCTGAAAATCAGCAGTTCGAAACCACCAGCCACTCTGGGGGAGAGCGACTAGGGGCTCAGGGGCGCAGGGGTGGTTCTTCTCAGTCTGATGAGTCAGAATTGACTCAGTGCGGCAGTGTGTGCTGAGTTATAGAACGGCTGCCATGCGTGCGATGGGTAAGTTCCTACCACCAGAGGTGTGCAAGGGATGCTCACAAGGGATATTTCTGCCCCTTGTGTGTGTGGATATGTGTCGGGGGATGGATGCAGAACAGGACTAGAGAAATGGTAAGCCTGCTGTCGTCTGGACAATTCCTGTTCCCGGTGACCCCACGTGTGCACCGTGGAACTGAGCTTCAGGGGATTTTCTGGGCTGTGATCTTTACAGGTGCAAATCACCCGCCTTTCGTCCCTGGTACCAGCCTTTCAGTTAGTGGTCACACACCGCCTAGTCCCCAGCACAGACCTCGTGTCAGCTTGAATAGACTCCCTGGGGGTGTCTTATCAGGTGGCTCCCTGCCTGAGGCGCTGACAGTCCAGCTGAGACAGGAATCCATGGTTCTGACTGTGAGCAGAACCAAGGTGTGTTCTCCCAGGTCAGGGGGCGGGGGGGGGGGTGTCTCTCCTGGAAGGCGGAGCACCCTGGACAGCTGGGGCTTACTGCCGGTCTGGAGGGCTGGTGGGGCTTGGAGGAGCATGCAGTGAGTGGCGGGGCCACTGAGGAAGCTGGCAGGGCAATGGCCTTGAATAGAGGGGCCGGGATGGGGAAAACAGAATGAAACGCTGAGTCAGGATGGGCCCTGCCCCTGGAGGGCCTGGCACAGAGAGGGGCAGCAGAGAATCAGCCCTGCAGTAGTTGTCCACATGGGCATTGGGCCCCTTCGAAGACTCCTTTGTGCAGGCAAGCATGAGACTCTCCGCCAGTACCGCCATCACCTGGACCAGATGGTCCACTCCAGACCTGTCGAGGCAGAGTCTGCAGGGCCCGGCTTGGGCACGGCTGTTGGCAGGGTCCCGGGGACAGCCCATAGCCTCCGCAGGCAGGCAGGTGGGATACCTTGCTTTGAGTTCTGACCTGAGCCCTCGTTTCAGGGCTCACACCAAATAGTAAGGCCGACCAACCGGTTCTCTTGCTGGCTCCATCTCTTCCTGGCCCTGGGCCTTTTGGGCTGGTTACTGCACCACTTCAGACCTGAGTGAGTCACCGGCCGGGCTGCTGCCCACAGGGGATGTGGCCACAGCATGTGACATTCTGTGGGATGGAGGAACATGAACAAGTCCCTCTTCAGCTCTCCGGGTTCACTACTCTCCTACTCCCCGCCCGCCCCCTCCGGTGTAGTGCCAACAAATGCCTGCCCTGCTGTTTACTAGCAGGGATGGAACGTCACCGGTCATGGGCTCGGAGCTTTGCGGCTACCTCTCCCTCTTGGTTTCCTGCTCTTGGTCAGTTTTCTCCTCTCTGGGATCCCGGAGTCTGAGCAGAACTGCCCCCAGGGGCTTTCCTCCCCAGTCATCTTCACCGGAGCACATCACTAGCTCCTGCTCTGGAAGAGGGGCTGGGTGGGTTTGAACTGCCAACCTTTGTGATAGTAACCAAGTGTTTGACTCTTGCTCTACCAGCCCGCCTTCCCACTCAGATGCAGCACTCGGCTCCCCTACCCCCAAAACAAGTACCAAACCACGGCCTTCAAGTCGATTCCAACTCCAAACTGCTGGTTCTTTCCTCCCCTACACTCCCCCCCCTGCCTCCCCAGACCCTAGGGAGCGTGTCCTGGAGCCCATTTGCCTCTTCACTGCAAATCCCCAGCCCCTGGAATCGTAGGGCACCACTTGCTCATGTGTGGTCTCTGCAGTTTAAGCCATACAAAAACAAAAAACCCCACGGTGACAGACATGTAAAAGTGAGCAAGGCTTCAGCTATTATTTTCTGAACTTAAAAACCAAAAAACAAACAAAAAAATTACCTTCATTAATTTTTTTCCTGTATGACTTTTGCTCAGTGGAACTGGGCCTGCGGAGGGGACAGCTCATGTCAGGGTGCGGGTGAAGATCCCAGGAAGGGAGTTCACAATTAAAGGAGCCATCAGTATAGTCTGAGCCGTAAGGGGTGGGGGTGGGGGTTGCTTTTGTTTTTCAAATTTTAAAATTTGAAAAAATTTTACTTTTAACTAGTACTTCATCTTGAGGCTGTCACTAAAGGTTACCACCACCCACCCCATCTGTCTTGCAGAAGGGCCACTAGGGTGAATATTACAAAGTGGATAGCCGGTCGGGAAAGATTGGAACTCACATTAACTCCTAAAGAACAGCTTCCTTTAAGCTATGGTAAAAAATGTTAAGTTAAAAAAGAAGAAAAGGAAGGTGGGGAAGCCACTGAAGGTTCAGAATGAACACAATCCTCACATTTCATCAAATACATTTAATCCCCGTGGGGTGTAACCAACGGAAAGAGGACGACTGCATGACAAAGGTCCCACTGCAGCCCCTGGACACACCAGGTTCCAAGCCCACCTCCCACAGTGGGAAACCGGAAATCAGGAAGGCGGTGTATTGGGGCAAGCTCTAAGGAGTCTGGAAGGCCAAGGCTCCCATGCAGGAAACCTTCACGTTTGTGGGTGGAAGATTCATCCTACTCACATTCCCCTAAGTAACAGTTGTTCCCCACGATGCCCCCCAACAATAATGCCAAATCTAAGGTGCTGTTGGCAAACACCTGGTCACTGACTAGCCACTTGGAGATCAACTGCTTGCAGCTTATCTCTCTGAAGGTTATCAGCCATCTAAGGCAATCAGACCCTATAGTCTGTCCCACCCTAAGTAGGGCCCACTCCCTTCTGATGAGGACAATGCATTGTTCCCCTGAAGACACCTGAAGTCAAGCCGACTCAGAGGACCAAGGTTAGGCTGCCATCTTGATTCTAAAGCCCATCCTACTTGTTACATGTGTGCCTTCCTGTCCCATGTAGACCTCTACTGCCTCCCCTTCCTATTGCGTGTGTGCCCCTAGCTCGTCCCCCTCCTGTTATGCGTAGGACCCCTGTACAACCCCGTCCTGTTACATATGCGGTTACCTGTCATGAGGGGGCTTGCACGCCCCTAGAGTACAGATAAGCCTGGGTTGGAAATATATTCTCTCTCTGCACGGACCCGGCTCATGAAGTCATGACTGCGAGGGTGAGCACTTGCGTGCTTTATCTTTTCTGACGTCTCTTTCATTTTACCCCTCAATTACACAGCCACCCCTTGGTCCCATTCGATTGTGGGGGCTGGTACTCCACACCACACCCCAGTGCTTCCAACTCAACTATTCCCCAGCCTGTTGGGCCTGCTGGCGAAGGCACCCATGGAGCTTCCCCTTAATCCCGTCTTTGTTGTTCGGCGGGCTTCAGCTGGTAAACTGAGGCCAGCTGAGGTCTGCCTGGTCATCAATAAAACCAGACAGCTGGCTGAGACCTCGTGTGTGAGGGGCTGTTGGGCGTCACTCTCTTCGGATGCTCCTCAGACATGTTACAGACTTCCCTGCGTCCACTCACAGACTCCGCCTCAGCCCTGCCTCCCGGCCCCTCAGTTTGACAGGCTGCACTCGCAACACGATAGGAGACCTGGTGCCAGACTCTCACTGCAGCCTCTGCCGGCATCCTCGCCCCCAAGAGCTGCAATGCTGCCAACAGCCAGACCCCTTGCAAGGCGTTTTGGTAGATGGAGCCGTGGTGATGCAGTGGTTAAGTGTTCAACTGGTAACTCAAAAGGTTGGTGGTTCAAACCCACTCAATGGCTCGGTGGCAGAAAGAGCTAGCAGTCGCTACCGCAAAGACTGTAGGAGACCCTATGCAGCTGGTCTACCATGTCGTGTGGGGGCAGTTGAAACGGACTTGGCAGCACCCAACAACAACAACAACAACAACACACGTTCATGAAGCAATAGAACGAAAAGATAATGCGAGTTTTCCACGAACTTTTTGAAATTTCATTGGGAGCTGTGTACTTCCACAAACCCTAAGGAGCAGTTCTCCTGGGTCCCACCGGGTCCTTCTGGTGGACACCGACTTGATAGCCGTAGGTGTTTGGGATTGATGTTCACGCGAAATATCAGTCTTTCAGTTCCTTCTGTTTCCCTGGTTTGGGTTGTCCACAGTGCAAGGGCCACAGTCAAGACACAGTGCTGGCAGCGGAGGCTGGACTGGATAGTGTTCCTTCCTCTTCTACCTTTTGGAAGGGCCTGTTAGACTAGGTAGAAGGTCTTCCTTATGTTTTTAGTAGAATTTGGTAGAAGTTGTCTTGGGTTTGGGTTTGGGTTTGGGTGTGCAGGAATGGTGAGGAGGGAAGGAGTTGAACGACAAATTCAAATTCTTTGATAGATACAGGACTATAGAGGTAATTGTTGCTTCTTGAGTGAGCTTTCATAGTTTGTATCTGTCCAACCATTTGTCCCTTTCATCCAACTTGTCCACCATATTGGCTAGCATATTCCCTTTATCCTCTCAATATCCATAGAATTGATGTATAGAACCTGTAATAATGTTCTTGCGCTGACTCCTGAATTCAAAATTTATGTCTTCTTTCTTCTTCGTTTAATCAGTGTGTGTAGGGATTTCTTAACTTTGATTTTTCTCTATTATTTTTTATTTCTATTTATTAACCTCTGTTGTTCTTATTTTCATTATTTCTTTTCTTCTAACTACTTTGAATTTACTTTGCTTTTCATTTTCCTAGCTAGGTTTCTTTCTCTCTCTCTCTTTGTTTGATAGTAGAAGCTTGTAAAGCATTGATTGCAGACTTTTCTAATGCAAGTGGTTCAGGAGCCCCAGAAGTGTCGTGGGTTACACGTTGGGACGCGAACCACAAGGCCCACGGTTCAAATTCCCCAGCCTCTCTGTAGGTGAACAATGAGGCTGCCTGCTCTCATAGAAATGTACAGCTTCAGAAATCCAGGGACAAGTCCACTCTGTGCTGTCGGATGGACTCGAGGGCAGGGGTTTGGTCTTTTCAGAAGTGGTGACTGCTGAGGGAGATGGGTTCCAGCCTTGGGCAATGCTCAGGGTTAGGGATCTGGGAGCAGAAGGGGAGCATGTCTGTGAGGTCTGGGGGGTGGGGGGGGCAACAGCCCAGGGGTTAGAGGCCTGGGTTCGGCTAGTCACTTCCTGGCTTTGTGGCTGTGTGAGTTTGCATTTAGACTCTCTGGCCTGTACTTTCTTTGCCTGTGTGCTGGAGCTAGTGAGGGGGATCCCCTCCGGGCTCCCAGAGCTGAACCGGTGGATGCATAGGAAAGCACGTGGTCACTTGGAGAGAACTGTTGTGGTGTAGTGGTAATGAGTTGGGCGGCTAACTGCAAGGTTAGCCGTTCGAAAGCACTAACCTCTCTGGGAGAGAAAGAGGGGCTTTCTACTCACAGCGTCGGCATCGACTCGATGGCAGGGAGGTTTCTGGTTTATTTTCTTTTGCGCCACCTGGAAGGGTCTTCTCATCAAACCAGTGCAAGCGGTGGTTGCTGTGACCTCTGTAAAGCATGTCCCTCCTTCTGCCCCCTCAGATCCAGAAGCGACATGTACACACCCATCTCTCAGAGGTAAGCTATGTGCCCCCCCTCCTTCAGCCCTTCTTCCTCACCTCCCAGGGCTGCCCCTCCCCACTGACCCAGCCCCAGGCCTTCCCGGGCCCAGGGCCCTGACCGATGCCAGCTCTCTCCCCTCCTGTAGCGGCTCCCCGTTCCCGGCCTCTGTGAAGAACCCCGGCCTGCACATCTGGCGGGTGGAGAAGCTGAAGCCGGTGCCCGTCGCCCCTGAGAACCAGGGCATCTTCTTCTCAGGAGACTCCTACCTGGTCCTGCACAATGGCCCAGAAGAACTCTCTCACCTGCACCTGTGGATAGGTAGGGGCGCTGAGATGGTAGGCAGCATGGCCTGGGCAGGGGCTGGAGCCAGCGTGGGTCTCACGGGCCTGCCCTTGCCACCTCCCCGCTTATCTGTCCCAGGTCAGCAGTCATCTCGGGATGAGCAGGGGGCCTGCGCGGTGCTGGCCGTCCACCTCAACACCCTGCTCGGGGAGCGGCCCGTGCAGCACCGGGAAGTGCAGGGCAATGAGTCTGACCTCTTCATGAGCTACTTCCCACGGGGCCTCAAGTACCAGGTCAGTGTGCACCCCCCTGCCACCTCTATCCTGGGGCTCCCCCTTCCAGCTGGTCCCCACAATGCAGAAGGCCTAAGCACCCTCCGGGCCAGGTCCCCACCTCTCCACCAGTCTCCTCAGCCCACTCAGGCCGGCTCTCTGGGCTGCAGGAAGGCGGTGTGGAGTCTGCATTTCACAAGACCTCCCCCGGGGGCGCCCCAGCTGCCATCAAGAAACTCTACCAGGTGAAGGGGAAGAAGAACATCCGGGCCACTGAGCGGGCGCTGAGCTGGGCCAGCTTCAACACTGGGGACTGCTTCATCCTGGACCTGGGCCAGGTGGGTCGGCAGGGCTGCACTGAGCATCCTGCGCTAGCACCAGCCTTTTCAATGAAAGGAAGGGCAGGGAAGCGGGGAGCTGTCAGTCTGTTCCAGGTTGGACCACTTCAGCCATTAGCAGATACCCCTTTGTTCTGAGGACAGAAAGCGGCCTCCCTCTCCCTGACTTCTTGCTGTTGCCTCCAACACGAGAGCTTATTCTCACCTCTCCCCGGGTTAGCTGCCCGCCAAACCAGTCATTAAGCTGCCTACCCTGTGGCTTCATCGTGCCCTCTCTCAGGTTGCCCTGGCACCACAGTCCTGGACAGAAAAGTCTCAGAGGTTCACTGGGAGTGGTGTGTGGTGTGTCTGTCCCCTGCCTTAGCCCATGGCAGGGTGGGAGGAGGGCTGTATAGGAAGGAGGCAGTGGGCATGTGCTACAGAAGCACGGAGACAGAGACCCTCCAGTCAGAGCCCAGGAAGGCACCCTTTACCTAGACTTCCCAGAAGAGCGCCGCGCAGACAAAGGGAACCGGCGATATATCGTGACAAGTCTAGTTTCACTGGGACCCTGGGTGGGAACAAGAGCCACGCCACGCCTGGCATAGAAAACGGTGGAGGACAATGACGAGACCCACGTCCGGAGGAGGTTGCGTGTTTGTCTGAGGAGCTTGGACAGCATCTTGTGCTACTGAAGATTCTGGGACAAGATCAACCCAGGAGAGGGTTATAAGGTAGATGAGAAGGTTTGAAAGGGAGGCGGTGAGATAATCTTGCTCACTCGAGGCATCTGCCTGGCCACCGGTATGGAAAGGGGTGTGAGGTAGGGACTCGAAGATGGCCTTCACCCATGACCTCTTTCAATACATATTTGCACCTCTATAGGAGCCAGGCACCGCCCTAGCACTGAACCCACGGGAACACAAACATTGTGCCCCAGTGAAGCGTACTTCCCAGTCAGAGGAGACAGGATCAAGAAGTACAATACAAGGCAGTACATGCTGCAGAGGGAGGCGGGAGCTCTGACCAAGCCCGCTTGGTGGACAGCTCTTCTAGGCAGGGAGAGAGAGCTAAGGGCCCTTCCCCACAGGCTGCCACAGGCAGGGGCTCTGACCCGCCCCTCCCCCCCCCCCCCCCCTGCTTCCTTCAGACCATCCTCGCCTGGTGCGGTGGCAAGTCCAACATCCTGGAGCGCAACAAGGCGAGGGACTTGGCCCTGGCCATTCGGGACAGCGAGCGCCAGGGCAAGGCCCACGTGGAGATCGTCCCTGATGGGGAGGAGCCCGAGGAGATGCTGCAGGTGGAGGGCATGTGGAGATGGGGCAGGGGCTCTGCTGGGAAATGGTGATCATCTGGAGGGGGAGGGGCGAGGCACACCTGAGGGTGGCCGTGCAGGGTGATGGGGATGGTGTGGGGGATGGATGAAGGCGCTCTGGGTAGTGTCCCTGTGCAAGACGGTTTGTGTCCGCAGAGGCAGTGGCCCCAGGCAGGGAGGGTTGAAAGGGCCTGAGACCAGTGCTCCGGCGTCCCTGTAAACCCACCCCACCTTGTCCCTGCAGGTCCTGGGCCCCAAGCCCGCGCTGAAGGAGGGGAACCCTGAGGAAGACCTCACAGCCGACCAGACAAACGCCCAGGCCGCCGCTCTGTATAAGGTGGGAGCGCCTGGGGGGTGGGGGTGGGGGCACCCACTGGGGGCGGAAGTGAGACCTGAAAGCAGAGGGAGAGTCAGCTGGGGACCCAGCGAGGTCGATCCAGGGCAGCTGGCAGGCCCTCCTCAGAAAGAAAACCCCACTTCACTTCTGCCAGTTCTTGGCAAGCGGAGGCTGAAGCCAACGCGGAGCTGCGTTTAGTTCGCACTGTCCCTCTTATGTGGGGAGTGACGGCCAGGCCCCACTGCCCCCTGGGCTGAGCTATGTTCAGGGAGATATCCAGTGGTACCCCTTCTCCCCCAGGTCTCAGATGCCACTGGGCAGATGAACCTGACCAAGGTGGCTGACTCAAGCCCCTTCCCCCACAAGCTGCTCCTAGCTGACGACTGCTTCGTGCTGGACAACGGGCTCTGCGGCAAGATCTACATCTGGAAGGGTAACTGCGACCTGCCTCCTGCCGGGGGCTCTGCTGTGGCTCAGCAGGCGTCCCTCTGGGAGAGATGGCTCCTGGCTGAGGCCTTAAGCCCTAGTGGGTGGTGCTGAAACTTCGGAGTATAGGAAACTTCAGAATCCCAGCCCCAGGCCTGCTAACCGCTCCCCTCCCCTCCTCCTCACCCCGCCCCAAGAGATGCCAATTCAGATTCACTCCGGGCAGGGTGGGGCCTGAGAATTGACGTTTTTAATGAGTCAGTATGGAGGTTGTGTCTTGGTGATAAGGTCCCACGTGATGTGCTGAGATGCTGGTCCCAGGAGACCCCCCCCTGTCAGGCCCATTTTCTAGAGAAGTGTAGATCTTTGGAGCTTCTGGAAGCCCTGGCCGTGGAAAGCGATCATGAGGCATGATAATATGAGATACATTTTAGATACGTGAGACATGACTGTGTGTAGTGGAACCTGTCAGACTCGATCTCCCAAACGATACGATCAGCTGGAGGCAGGCCAGGAGCAGCCTGTTCTGCTGGTGGACAGCAGACGTGGAGGCCATGCTCAGAGGCCCCGACTGTGCCCTTTCCCACCCGTCGTCTCTCCCTGAGCATGTCCGCGCCCCTGCACAGACCGCCAAGTCTGGAAAGAGAGCTCCTCACCCACCGTCTCCAGCATCTTTGCCGTATTGGCATTTGCTCAGTACATAGATTTGGAGAGACATTCCCGGCCTGCGTCAGGGAGCGGGTGCAGCAGGCTGTTTAACTGCCCAGCGAGTGGCACCGTCGCTGTGTGCCACTGAGGGGCTGCAAACTCACAGCAGCGCCTCGTGGCAGCCCTGAAGTGCCCCACAGCTGCTGTGAGGTGGTCCTCTAGACACGGCCAGGTCCTCCCTCCCGGGAGCAGCTGAGCGACTGCAAGTCACCGCTGCTGGGTCAGCAGTGTCACTTTGTGGATGACCAGAGCTCGTACGTAGTTAGCGCAGGACAAGCAGCAGACGTGTCCGAGCAGCAGGCGGTGTTGCCAGCGGTCTGCGTGCGGACGAGATGGAAGAGGGACCCACTCCTGCTTTTCCCACGGAACCGATGCCAGGCACGGAGGGATTCCCAGACCACTCCCCCAGGAGTGAACATCACCCCCTCCAGCGACGAACCCACATGGAAAAAGAAGCAGGGAGCTTGGGATGCAGAGACAGGGCGGCCAGTCAGTTCTTAGAGGACAGCGATGTCGCATCGATCCCAGATCCCTCACAGTTAGCAGGGGCTTTTAAGCTTGGCTGTGGAGCCACCTTCATTCACAGCGTTCTTTAGATGGAAAGCTGCCTTAAAAGTAGGGCACAGGGTGTAGTGCAGGGATGAGTGGAGCATTGCGTGGACGCGGCTGGTGGAAGCTTTAGGTAGCCTAACTCTTAGGTGGGAGAATGATGAGGGTTTCTACTTCCACAAAGGGTTACAGTCTCAGAAAGCCACGGGGCGGTTCAGTCCTGCCCTATCGGGTTGCTGGGTCGGAATCGCAATGAGTGTGTGCACACGTTCTGGCCTCAGGAGGTAAACTTGGCTCCCTAAGAAAGTGCCTTTGCCCTGTTTCACTTTACAAGAGGCTTGGAGAAAAAAAAAAAAAAAAAAGGCTTGGAAAGAGCACAACGGACAGACTCCGGAGGCACCCTGTCCGACTGGAGGCGCCCCTGGCCCGGGAGCTTGATGCCAGGGAGAACAGGCACTCCACTCCCTGTGCATCCCCAGAGCCCGGCTGGGGCCCCAAAGTCACTGGCTGTTCCCTGGAGCCCCTTGAGTTTCCCCCAGAAGAATGGGATGGGAGCTAGAGATGCGTGCCCTTTAGAATATGCCCTTCCCGTACTGCAGGGCGAAAGGCTAATGAGAAGGAGCGGCAGGCGGCCTTCCGTGTGGCAGAGGACTTCATCTCCCGCATGCAGTACGCGCCCAGCACTCAGGTGAGCACGCGACCTGGCCAGGGACACGCGTCAGCCCTCCTCCCAGGCCGCCCAGAAGGCAGCCCTTCTCCATCTCAGAAGTGAAGGAGGCCTGTTCTTTTCTTTCCTTTTTTAATTTTTTTTCTTTCCTTTTTTAAAAAAAAGATTTTATTGGGGGCTCTTACAGCTCTTTTAACAATCCATCCATCCATTGTTTCAAGCACATTTGTACATACGTACTGTATGTTGCCACCATCCTTTTCTAAACATTTACTTGAGACGTGTTATTTTCTAAGAGGAGTTGGGCAGCAGCCCTTGGCGAGAGTTGGACACGTCTCTGGACAGTGAGTGCGTGGTCCTCTCGGCGCTATTGTCCCTGGCTGGTTCTGCCCCTTCTAGCCCCAGCAAGGTGGGCTGACAAGTTATTCCCAGAGGTGCTGGTAAGACTCATGTGTAATTGGTGGCACTGTCAGACTGTGCACCCAAGCCTTTGAGGCACCCTGTTGTCTTTGTCTTAGCCCGCATCTTGGCTTATCAGTGGGAATGGCTCTGGTCTAGATCAAGCAGTAGCCATGGCTCTGACATCCCTGCCCTCCCCAGTAGAGGCAGAGTGACCCTACCCTGACTGTCCCTGCAGGTGGAGATTCTGCCTCAGGGCCGGGAGAGTCCTATCTTCAAGCAATTCTTCAAGGACTGGAAGTGAGGCCCGAGGCTCCCTGTCCCGACTCTCCTGCCTGAGCACCTGCCGCCTGTGTCCCCCTCTGGCGCTTGGTCCATGCAGATGCGTGCCCCCTGTGGATGTTCAATAAAGGAAGCAAACGCTTTTCCTGGCTCTCTGCCTGCACTGCATCTACCTCACCACACACCAAATCATACCATTCCTTACCACACCACATCAAATCATACCATACATTACCATACCACACCAAATCATGCCATACCAAGTACTACCACACCACATTAAGCTTACTTTAGTTGAGTCGATTCTGACTCACGGCGATCCCCATGTGTTACAGGTACAACTACACCATAGGGTTTTCAGAAACGACATCAGGCCATTCTTTCATGGCACCCCCGGGAGGGTTGAACAGTCACCAACATTTAGGTTTGTTTGTACAAACCATTTGCACCCAGGGACTTGCCTGCATTGCATGGCCTGGGCCAGTTCTTGTGTCCCCTACTTGTTCACCAGCTCATGGTTGTTCTAAGGGACCATCACCCCACAGCTTCTGAGGGGCCTGGGCTACTTTTGGGGCCAGACTTGGCTTTGCATGGCTGAGGCAGAGGAGCCAAAAATGCCCGGATGGCACTGCTGTGAACCTAACGGGGGTGGCACCTGGCCAGGCCCCAGATCACTTTCCCCTGCAGGTTTGCTTCAGTCTCACATTTCCAGTCGGGAGAAGGCTCTGGATGTATCTCAGTTGAAGCTGAGATGCCCTAATAACCACCAGAGGCAGCTCCCACAGGCGTCTCTGCTGGCCAGGCCGGGGAACCACTGTCAGTGCTGTGCAGACATCTGGTGTTGTCACTGCACAGCACACTGCACTGTGGTTCGGGGGGATGAGTCCAGGGCCACCGTGGCGCTGTGTGTGGGGGGAGCACTGGCCTGCGTGCAAGTGAGGCTCCTGGCTTCTGCTTCTCAGCCTGCCCTGTGTGAAGACGGACCAGGCTCCTGTCCTTGTCCAGGCCTCGGCCCATTCTCTTGTTCACATAGTGGCGGCAGCAACACTGGTTCACGGTTCCCATTGCCAACTAGTGGACTCCAACTCAAGAAGGCCTCCTGTGTCTCAGGGACAACTGTGACCCTGAGGGCTTACCTTGTCTCTTCACTTGTGATTGTGAATTGGGGAAGGTTTCAGAGCTGATCGGTTTCCATTCAACAATCCATACACATCTTGTACCATCTCCTTGACTGAAGCCCTTACAGGTAATGTCACTTTCCCGTTCCTGTGTCTCCTGTTGCTTCCCTCACTCTTCTGAACTTTGTCCTCAGTAAAGGCTGCCCTAGATCACAAATGGTTGATGATTCAAAGAAGTTCCTGTGTTACTGTCCCCTCACACGCTTGTCTAGTGTTTGGCCAAAACTTGAGCCTTGGGGGTAAATTCATTTCCAAACCTGAAGGGTGATGAAGGCCTGACTCAAGGGTTCCACCCATCTCTGTTCCACTAGTAAGTTCCACGGGGGTGGGGTGGGGTGGAGGGGTGTCTTGTTTTTCTTTTTCCTTTAAGTTTTTATTATTTAGATACACCATACTAGAGCACATCTCATTGAAAATAGCATAAGTAAATTTCTTTCCCCTTCATTCAGCAAATTAGACTCATTCACTGCCATCGAGTCAGTTCTGAACTCCTGCCCAGTGTTGATCGGCCCGAGTTTGCGCTGAGGTTTTCGGACACCCCTTCCCCACTCGCCCATGGAAAGATGACCTGGAATGACAGATTGCTAACTGCCCAGCAGATGGAGCTCTGAGCACCCTGTGGTGTGGAGGACATTGAAAACCAAACCAAACCCACTGCCATCGAGTCTGTCCCGACACAGTAACTCTGTGGGACAGGGTAGATCTGCCCTGTGGGTGTCTGAGCCCGTAACACTTTATGGACTAGAGAGCTGCAGAGCTGCTGGTGGTTTTGAACAGCTGACCTTGTGGCTTAACTACTCGGCCGCCAGGAAGAGAGGGGCTCCCACAACAGCACTGGCCTCTCCTCCAGCTAGAGGCTCCCGGGCGGGCGGGGTTGTGCCTGGCAGCTGAGCATTCACAGGTCGTGCGCTGTGTTAGCCTCTGGAAACGAGGCAGAAGAAAAGGAACCGTTCATTGAACCGATACTAAGAAACAAAGACGCGGCTCACATCTCCCTCCCCTGCACTCCAAGCCCTGGCACAAACGGTAAACGCCCTCGGCCTCATCAGCTGATGGCAAGTCCACCTCCTCTACCCAAGAGGCACTCTGCAAGAAAAGCCTGGCAGTCTACTGCCAAACCTTCAGCCACTGAACCCCACCCCGCACGGCGCACAGTTCTACCGACACACACAGGCTCACCAGGAGCTGGCACGGACTCAACTGGGACAGTGCCAAGGACCTCCCTGCCACGCCCGCTGGTTGCCAGGGACCAGTTCGCAGGTTGGTCTTAAGGCGAATGAAAGATTGGTTCAAGTTATGCAAAGATGTCACACGTGAATTGGTCCAGCAGCCAGGAACTTCCAAGTGCAGTGGCGGTCTGTCTGCGGGCTCTGGGATAGAGAGACTTGCAGGGCATAGACAAGGGTCTCCCCGAGTGCTACTGAGGGGTCACAAAGGGCAGAAAGCAGCACCCCCAATTAAAGCAGAGCCTGACTGGGCAGACGAAGTGGGGCAGTGGGGCTCCGGAAGTAGAGTCCAGAGCATAGGGCACGTAAACTTCCTCATAGCCGGACTACTGGAGGCTGAAGGGCAGCAAAGGCCTGGCCTTGGCCGAACCAGTGGGGCTCTACCTGCCCCCAGTGCCAACTGAGGTCACGTGGACCTGTGGGCCCTTTGGCCTTGGGGGTAAATTGGCAGAGGCAACCTCTGGGGGTAAATTTGTCAGAGGGGGCCACAGAGCCAGGCTTCCCGGAAGCAGATGTGGGGAAAACCGTTTGCATGCCTCACATCAGTCAGCCTAACAGCAGCCACTGGCTGGAGCCGGTAGGGAGCTCCCGAGGCCGGCAAGTGTAGCCAAGGGCGTCGCTCACCCATCACTGGTTCATCGGGATGCCATCCTGTGAACTCTGAACTCAGGAAAGTGGAGCCAGGGCAGAGCAACCTCTCCTCCTGCCTCTCCTGTGGACCACCCAGGGCTCGGGGAGCCTGCACAAAGGCATCCAGGCTCAGCGCGGAAGGAAGCGAGTGAGACACATCCACTAGAAAGATGCCTTTATTTGAACTGCTGGTGTAGAAATGTTTCCTTCCCTCCAGGTCAGAAAGCCACCCCTCGCCTCTAGGGGTGAGGGCTGCACTGGGTGCTATCCCATGAGGCAGGGGAGGCAGGGGAGGCAGGTGGACGGAGGAGGAAAGCCCAGCCAGCTGGGGGCTCAGTCCCGCCGCTTAGCTTGCTCTGGCACAGGCTGCCCCCTGCTGGCTGCTTCCCCGTGCTGGCTGCTCTCCTCCATTCTACCTGCAGCCCCTGAGCAAGCACAGGGCTGGAAAAAAACCAGGTGAGCACCCTCCACTGAGGATCTCCTTCAGGAAGGGGTTGCAGGGAGCATCCCGGAGGGGGGTTCCCATCACACTCTCCTTGCCGGGAACTGCAGTCCAAGAAAGGTTTAAGAAGAAACTCTCCTTGCTCTGAAGCACGACTGCAGGGAGCAGGTGCCATCAAACCCGTCTAATGGAACACAGGTGAGGGCCCCTGGCTTTCCCCAACCAGGCCCGGAGTTTCCTACACCCACCTGTGAGGCACTGCGGGGATGGTCCAGCCATGGGCCCCCACACACGCTGCGGTGGGTTCTCTGAAGGCCCCGCAGCCCCAAATTGAAGTCATTGCAGCAGCCAGCCTGTGGGGGCTTGGTCAGATGGGCTGTGCGTCTTCGGAAGAGTGCAGCGGCAGGTCACACACACCTGTGAAGGTGAGCTCCTTGGAGTGAGGGGCGTGGGGTCCATAGCCCTTCGGTGCTCCCAGCAAGGAGGCCTGGCCTTTCGACGTCCCAGCCAAGTAGATCTCCAGGGTCTTGAGCAGCCGCCGGGGGCTCTTCTTGGCCAGCACTTCCAAATCTGAAACAGGGAGCAATGAGGAGCAAAGGGCAGGAGGGGGCTTTTAGACTGGACCCAAGGCCAGCAGGTCTAAGAGCACCCTAACCCAAGATTTTGTGGAGACAAAGGTAAGCCTTCTATGACAGGCAGACGACCTGCTGGGGAGACTGGGTAAGGGGGCCCAGGCACAGGGACCACGCAGTCTGCACTTAGACCCTGGCTTCTAACCACTGACTCAGACACCAGGCCCCGGGGAGGAACAGGAAGCTGAGCGCGGACAGGCCGAGGGCAAAGGAGCTGCGGTTCAAAGCAGATACGAGTGGCCAGGCCGGGCTCTGGGCCCAGCACACGAGTGAGGGGCCCAGGCCCCTTCGGGAGAGGGGCCTACCTTTGAGCACAAAGCCAGAGTCTGAGATGGTTTTCTGCTGTGACCTCCAGATGTGGGCGAGGCGGAGGAAAGTGGCTGCGTAGAAGCTGTTCACCACAGGGATCACCTTCTGCTGCCGATTACACTCCCTACACCACAGGGAGACGCTGAGCCTGGGAATGCGCCAAGCCGATGCCCTTCCCTGGAGAACAGGCCTTCCCATCCAAGGTCAGGAAGCCGGAGCAGGTGAGGAAGAGGGTGGGGGTAAGAGACGCAGGGGCTCACCGGGTGAGGCACTCTTCCCTCAAGGCCTGGATGGCAATGCGGGTGATATTCACGGACATCAGACAGAAGGGGAATTGCTGGAAGGGGGTGAGGGGGCGCAAGTCAGTGGCGAGGTTGGCTCTCAGCCTCTGCGGTTTCCGGACAGCTCAGTGCTGTAATGGCAATCACCGCAGCCTGAGGGAGTGGAGGCGCGGTGATTGCCATTTTCCTAACTTTCCTAACTCAGCAGAGCCTGGGTGGCAGTTGAGGTTCTGTGCTCCAGAGCCGGGTGCGCGACCCCCTTCTCCTTGGCCTGCACCAGCACCCGCGCCGGGAAAGGATCAAGGGCCATACTGGCTGGAGCTAATCCACTCATCACTGCAAAAACTTTCCGAGAGAGAGTTTACTGCCCCCAATCTCCACTTCCCATCAGCCCTGGTGGCGCAGTGGGTGACAAGTTGGGTTGCTAACTACAAGGTTCACGGTTCGAAGCCACCAAGGGACAAAGATGAGGTTTTCTATTCCCGTAAAGTCCAGTCCCAGAAACCCACAGGGGGAGTCCTACCCTGTCCCAGAGGGTCCCCATGAACCAGGACTGACTCAATGGCTGTGAGTTTGGTTTATTATCCCCCAGCCTAACTCAGGGCTGCTGTGAGGATGAACTGGGATCATATATGTAACAAGTACAGGCTTGGCTAGGGGCTCACAGAATGTGTACAATTATTACCCTATGGCTCCTGGGGTCAGAGGCGATACATTTAACCCTTCATGTGCTGAGCAGCACTCTCTGTTCCAGGATTGGGTCATCTTACATAGCTGCCCTTCCCACTAGTTTCTCAGTCTAAACACAAACACAACAACAAGAATGTGGTCGCAAGCATAACTTAGAGAGGCTCTCAACCCAACATTCATCCACTTTTCCATTCAAAATCTGTGATGAGTAGGAAGTCAGATTAAAATAGCCCCTTCCTGTCAGAAATTCCCTTACAAGAGGCACCTAGGATGGTATCCTACCTGCTTACAGACCCTGGCTTCTGGTAACTCCTTAGATCCTAATCCACTTCCCCTGCCCCAAAGCCAAAGTAAAACAAATCACAGACTGTATTGAGGGAGCCGAGAAGGAGAGGAAACCACCCCTGGGCTTTGGTCCTTGGGGCAAAGTCTAAAGCCTTCACCAACGCCCACAGGACCCTCCACTAGGCTCTGTCCATGACCTCCTCCCTCCTGCTCTCCTGAGTGAGCGTCTACTCCGGGGCTTCCCAGCAGCCCCACATACGCCAGGCAGGCTCCTTGCTCAGGCCCTCTGTCTTGATGCTACCTCTGTGGGTAGTGCTCTTCTCCCTGAATCCCCCTGGAATGCCCCACCTCCTTAGAGGCTTGGTTTAAATCTCACCTGTTCACAGGCGTTGTTATCATGACCACTTTATATAACATTATAAGCCCCCGCCCATGCTCCTTATCCTTTTCCCATGTTCAGTATCCCCATTAACACACTAAAATTTACTTAGTTACTGTCTTCCTGTCCTGTCTGCTCTGCTAGAAGGTGAGCTCCCAAGAGCAGGGGGCCTTGTCTGTTTCATCCTCTGACACTGTCTCAGTACTGAGAAGGGCACCGGCTGAGTCTGCTCAGCAAGTTCAGCGAATACCTTCTAGGTCCCAGGTGCCAGGCGGAGACCAATGACAGAAAACCAGGTCCTATGTGTTGCTACAGAATGGGGCCTGCCACCTTCTCCTACCTGGGAAAACCATCCCACACAGCCTGAGCGCAGTCCAGGGACAGAAGTGGAGGGGCTGGGAACCACGAGCGTGGTGGTTACACGGTGGGCTGCAACCGCAGGGCCGGTGGTCTGAAGCCACCAGCGCGCTGCTCCTGGGGCGAAAGGCGCAAGACTAGGCTTTGGACCACCATAACGAGTCACCCTCTCGGACACCTGCGGGGTAGTTCTACCCTGTCCGATAGGGTCACTATGTGTCAGCATCAACTCAGTGGCAGTGAGTTTTGGAGGAAAGCCAGACTCTGGGGTGCCATCAGTCTGTCGCTCAGAGGCTTATTCTGGCCCCCAGCGTCAGGAGAGCCTGCCAACACTGGGCAGGGGATTTCCGCAGGGAGGAGAGTCGATGGAGACAAGGGTAGCCAGTGTGCTAAGTGCTTTTGCACGTTATCTCGTTCAATGTTCCCAATAGCCCAGCTGACATGTTCTGTGATCTCTACTCGATACACGAGGAAACCAAGGCTCTGAGAGTGGAGGGGCTCTCCGCGTCACACAGCTAATGAGAGGCCCAGCTTTGTCTGATTCCCAGCTGGACCAGGCTGGCAGAGGCCGCCCTGCTGTCCTGAAAGCCCTCAGCAATGGCGGCTGTCTAGCACCGGGCCTTCCCGGCTCTGGCTCCCCAGACGTCACCTCAGCAAAGCCATACCTGGGCATGGTGATGAGACAGCCGGAAGATCTCCTGCGCCATCAGCAGGGTCTGGGAGTCCATCACCAGGTAGAGCAGGTGCAGGAGGGCCAGGAAGCCTGCTCCCCTAAGGTCGGTGGCTGGATTCGATCCTGTAACAGAAACCGCAGAAACTTGTGGGCCAATGAGCAACGCTTAATAAGGTCGAGCCTCCCTGGCACACCCAGGACTTGACTGTGCCGCTGCCTCTGGCTAAGGAAGCCAGGCTCACTTCCTTCCTGCCCCACTGAAAGCAGTCCCGTGACTGACGAGAGGCTGCACTGGTCATCCAAGGCCCAGGGGAGCCTCCTAAGTCTGTTTGCTTGGGAGCCAGCTTGCTGCTTGCTGCCCGTTATTTCCCCCACACCAGTCAGTGTAATTCTTTACAAACAGGTGCCGGACTTCTGGTTCTGGCTAGCATCGCAAGCCTGAGAGATGGTACACATTTCTGAGCTGGTTCTTGACTGACCCAGAAATGCCAACGAGAGCAGACAAAAAGAGCCACAGGGAAAACAAGTTCTCTCTGGTCAAAAGACAGGGGGAGGGGAGCATGGCAGGACAGAACATTTGACAGTGCCCCCCCCCCAGCCAAACCCCAGAGCAAGCGCTGTGGGCCCCTGGACTTCCTCAGAACAGGGCGTCTGGACTTCCAGCCCAGACCAGCTGTAAGGAGGTGCTCCTTGTCACCACCAAGGTTGGGGTGGGGATGGCAGGGGAGCGGGGACTCAGCAGCCCCTCACCCAGGGCTAAGGTGGCCCTGGCCCTCTGGGATGGTGGAAGACACATGGGAAAAGCACAGGATATCCAGCTCCTCCGGGTCAGGCCAGAGTGGTGGAGGCCAAGGGGGGTGGGGGTGGGGGGTGTATGGTGTGTGGTGTGTGTGAGGTGTATGTGTGTGGGTGATGGACTCCCAGCCTCAGCTGGCAGGAACGCAGTGAGCATCCCCTTCCCTGGCCAGCATGACAGCAAAGGAGCCCTGTTTACACCAGAGTCACTAAGATCCTGACAGGGACTTCAGAGCTGCCGTGGAGGGGCCCATAGATATGGAGTCCTCAGACACCTTCACGGCTAACCGCCAGGACCGGGGACTTCATCATGGTGCGTGGCAAAGGGGAGGAAGGTGGCCGGCCAGGAGACAGGAGCCCTGGTGGCAGAGTGGTGAAAGCGCTCAGCTGCCAACCGAGAGGAGGTGGTCTGACTCCACCAGCCGCTCCACAGGAGAAAGAGGGGGCAGGTGGCTTCCGTGAAAATGTCTGGTCTGGGAATGCCTCCGGGGCGGTTCGAGTCCGTCCTGCAGGGCTGCTCAAAGTCAGAATCAGCCCCGCGGTGGAGGGTTCTTGTAAAACCAAATTCGGAGTCAGCCTGGATCTGAGGGGGCCCAGTGTAAGCAGACGGGAGGTGAGGACAGATGTCAGGTCAGCAATGCTCTGAAGACGCAGCACAGGGTCACCCACCAAGGCTGCAAGCCCACTCAACAGCTGGGGTGGGGAACGCCTGACCTGAGGGCCATAGAGGTAAGGCCCGAGAAATCGTCAATCGGCTAACATCACGCGCCGCGCCACAGAGAAGCCGCTCCAGCCATCACCTTCAACCCCAACCCCCAACCACACTCTCTGCCCTCCAGCGAGTCGGTCCTGACTTGTGGCGATGCCACAGGGCAGGCCCGAACTGCCCTCGTGGGCTTCTGAGACCGGAATTCTTTAAGGGAAAAGAAAGCTTCACCTTTCTCCCGTGGAGTGGCTGAAGGTCTTGAACTGCTGACCTCATGGTTACCAGCACACACCGTGTAACCACTCCGCCACCAGGGCTCCTCAGCCATACGTTAGGGGTGAGTTAATGAAATGTTTGGCCAAATACAGCAGGCTAATTTCTAAGCTGATAAGTTTGTATGGCCGGTGAAGGATGTTACCCATGGCCCTTGAAAGGAAAAAAAGATTCCCAGCCCTGCTCTAGAAGCTGGAAAAGGCTGGGAGACATTTTCTTCCAGGAATTATCTCAGGCAATTACATTGTAGATGGGGGAGGGTAACGGGCCTTAAACACATCAACACCCAGATCACCCACTGAGGATGGTGTATGCGGTTCAAGGAGCCCTGGTGGGTGTCGGGGTGTTGCACTGGGTGATAACCAGAAGGTCAGTAGCTCGAAGCCACCAGCCGCTCCAAGGGAGAGAGATGGGGCTTTCTACTCCCGTCAACAGTCACAGTGCCAGACCGCGCAGGGGCCCTTCTACCCCGCCTGCTAAGGCACCGCCTCCGTGGCAGTGAGTCTGTTTCTAATACAGTCACGGTTTTAAATGAAGCGCCTCCGTTCTATACAAAGGGCATCTGCTCTGATACGGAGCAAAAAGGCAGCACATCTAGGGAAGAGGTGGAATGATTTGTTTCACTGGAAAAACAAAATAAAAACTTTTACGAAGACTTCATTTAAAGGGGGGAGGGGGGAGGAGACCTCAAACCCCCTCTCTACAGTGGCTCCCCGTCTCACGAGAGTCCACATTTCCCAACCGCCTGAGAGGCCACAGAGGTGTCTTCTCTCCGCCTCCTTCTCCGATGCTCCACTTCTGCCGTACTCTGTGCTCTGCTCCTTCTCAAGAGGAAGCAGGTCCCCACTCAGGCCTTTGTGGCACCCTTTTCCTGGAATGCTTGCCTCCACAGGCATGCAAGGGTAGCTTTCCACTCACCCCCAGAGCCAGGCTCAAGGAGCCCCAACAATTCCCGTGCCTCACCCTGAAAGCCCAGGTCTTCCCAGTGGTCTCCGTGGAGGGCACAGTCGAGCTTGGAGCCCGTCAGCTTCTTGTAGATGGTCTGGAGAATTCGGCCGTGCACTGGGTCTTGGCTATCCAGGCCACCTGCCCCCAAACAACCCCCACTCTTGGTCAGGCTGCCCAGAGAGGAGGGCAGGCGCGTTTCAGAGGACAGGTCTGGACTCTCATGCTCCAGCTGTTCTGTTCGCCACACGTGCACCCCTCAGGCCCTCCATGGCATGCAAGCCCCAGCACAGCCTCCGCACCGGCCAGACCGGGCTGGGACGGGCACTCACACTGAGCAATGGTCAGGACTAAGTCCCTTTCTTCGTGGAGGCCCCGGTGAAGCTTCGGAGGCCCAAAGAGGAGGTGCCGGAGGGCGGCGAGCCCGCTCCTTCGAACGGTGGGCTGAATCCTCTCCTGGGGAGGAAGTTGGAGGCGCTATGCTCACCTGGCATGAAGCACTTACAGAGAGGGCCACAGACAGGGTCGGTCCTTGTAGAAAGAGGTAGTTCCCACCGACTGCCTGGCTGCGGGGGCTGGGACCGCAGGCCGCTGGGCGGGAGTGAGCACATGCCAAGGCTCCAGAAGGAGGCCCTTCCAGCTCCCAGGTTCTTTGTCCCCCAAGCCCAGGCCTTCTCGGGCCAGGTGTCTGCTTCTAGAATCAGCTGTTCCTGACTCCCACGAGGGCGAGGGGTATCCCTGGGTAGTGCAAACCATTAACATACTCAGCTGCTAACTGAAAGGTTGGCAGTTTGTGCCCTTTGTACCTAGGGAAAAAGGCCAGGCAACCTACCTCTGGGGGGGGGCATGGGGGAGGGGGCAACCATTCATTGTAAACCCTATGGAGCACAGAATTCTGAGACACACAGGATTGCCGTGAGTCAGAAGGGATGCCCAGCAACTGGTCTAGTGGCTAGAGATGCCCCCAGGCGGTCACCTAAGACCCTGGGCAGGGTTTCCCAGCAAAGCTGCCTTCCCCTGTGTCTGTGTCTCCATGTAAAAGTCTGCTTGCAGGTGGAGGGAGTCGTGAGAAGGGCAGTCTGTGGGGCCGGAGGCCTCTGTGTGAGGCTGGGGCCTGCCCTCTGTACCATGACCAGCCCCTCCTAAGCCAGTGGGCCCTGTGAGGCTTTGGGCCACTGCCGTGAACACCCTGCTTCTGGAAGCTTTGCTCTCTAGGTCCTACAGTGCGACCCCATGCCTGTTCTTTCAGGCTTCCTCAAGTCACGGTGTAGACTCGAGATCTGAAATCGCACTTGCAGAACTTACTACTGGTCACTCAAGATGTCCTGCAAGGCTTGCTGCCCTCAGCTTTTAAATTTTCCCCAGACCCTCACCCCGACTCCACATATTTCTAAAATTCCTTAAACAGCTTCCGCTTCCTAGAGGGAAGGGCAGATCTTCTGGACTGGGCAGGAATCTGTCTGCTCCCAGGACGGGCTGCTTTCTTCCCCACAAGGAACCACCTAGCCTTTGCTCTGCATCCCAACAAGGGGAGGGCAGGGGAACAGAACACGGCCCCATAGGCGGGGACCACAGGATCTCTGTGGCCGTCCCAGAGTGGCCACAGGGCATTGGGTGAGGCATGGGTCTTTGGAGACCAGGCTTCAGTGGCCCCAGATCCTTAGGAAAGATATGGAGGGTCCTCTCAGGGACCTTTCCACCTTGCCTGCTGAATGCCCTATCCCGGTAGAACGGAAACCTGGCTCCCGGAGAGGGGCTGCCCTACCTGAGTCCCGATCATCCCGAGCGAGAGCCATACCTTGAAGGAGGAGAGGTCTGTAGTCTGGAAATGCTGCAGGGCCTCACTGAAGGAGATGAGCTGGCCAGGCTGCTCAGAACCGGCCCAGCTCCCTGTGGCAAAGAGAAGGCACACCAGGGTCTGCACGGGGCCCTCGTCTCAGCAGCTTTTACCAAGAGCCTCTGGTTGTCACCTCCACACCCAGCACTGACTCCAGAGCACCAACGGCCCCTGCAGCCTCTTCTGAGGGGCTGGCACTGTCTGCTGGGCTGACCCCTCTGGACTGGGCTCTTCAGAGGCTTGGTGGGCGGCCTGTGCAGTGAGATGGGGTAGTCTACCTGGATGCCTCTCACTGGTGGGGGGGCAGGTCAGTGCCTGGAGGAGATCCACCTGCGCTTAGCTCAGGGAGCTCTCTGAACGCCTAATGTCCTCCTCACACCTGTGTACGAACCCCCTCATCCTTCGTGAGAGCCCCGCAGCTGGCGGCTGAGAACACCCACTGGAACGTCTCTCTGGGAGCTCAGGCGAGATGTGGGCCCTAGTCCTAGTCTCTCACAGCAACGTCCAAACCTCTCCAACAGCCAACCACAAGACCGTCTGCATGCAGCCCTCGGGGCCTTCCAGCACACGCAGGCACCCCTTGCGCAGAGAACAGCCTGCTCAACCTTCTGCACTGCCCTGTCTGCCTGCCTGCCTCCGTCCGTGTCCAACCTCAATACTCGAGAGGCTGACCCCACCAAGTCCTTCTTGGGGTCCGTCAAGGCTGGGTGGGGGAAAGGCAGGGTGGCGGCCCGTCCTGACACTGTTCATTCCCATTTCCTTCTGAGGTAGAATGCCCGCGTCTTTCATGCATGCATGCCTGTTGTGTGTGCACGCACACATGCCGCAGTTACCCGTCGCTGGCTGGATGCTGTCCACGGCTTCCCATTCTTCCTGGGCTCGGAGCACCTCAGCGCTTACAGCTGCGGGAGAGAGAAGAGCAAATCCTGGGGGCCAGGCGGGTCTGCCCGGCTCCCGGTGGCAGCCCCGGCCTCCTCGTCAGTGCCCACGTGGCACAGCTCCCAGAGTGAGCTAGTGAAAAGGCAGAGCTGCTGTCAGCCATCGCTCACGGGAAAACCCCAACCCTGGAGCACAGCCCCCAAGTCCCTCCGAATGGGGCTCCTTGCTTGCCCTTGGCCTGACAGAACCGCCTGGGTTGCCACACCATGCTCTGCCCTCTCCTGTTGGGCGTGAGGCCGCTTGCTCCGCAGGCCTTTGTTTCCAAGGCTCCTTTGTCAGAGTCGATCGCCAGGCTGTTCTTCTGAGGGGCATCTGCATGGGCCTCACCCACCAGGTGGCGGCCCGAGTGCTATAAAAAACCAACCCACTGCTGTCGGACCGATTCCATCTCAGAGCCACCCTGCAGGGCAGGCGTGCACCTTAGGGTTTCTCAGGCAGAGCCTTTGTGGGAGCCAAAGCCTCCTGTGATTTCCCCAGAGAGCCAGGGGCGTGGAATGGATGGACTCTGAGGTCAAGTGGCCCGATGCTTTACCCACCGTCCCACCAGGGGTCCGCGAAAGCTCGACAGGCCCGACACCACATTCACTGCCGACCCACTGCGGCCCTGTAGGGCAGAAGAGAACTGCCCTGGGGTGCTTCTGGGTGCAAATGGCCAACCTAGCAGTCCGCAGCCCCACAGGGAACTCGCTGTACCACCTGGCTCCTGAAAGCACCATGGGGGGTCGGAGGGGAGCCACCACACCGTCCCTGCCTCCAAGCCACAGCTGGAATGCTCTAGTCCAGCGGTTCTTAGCCTTTCTCATGCCGCAGCCCTAATACCTTACGTTGTGGTGACCCCCCAACCATACCATTGTTTTCGTTGCTACTTCATCACTGTAATTTGCTACTGTTATGAATTGGTTGACCCTGTGAAAGGGTCATTCAACCCCCAAAGGGGTCACGACCCACAGGTTGAGAACTGCTGCTCTAGTCCAAACTGCAAGTGGCATTTCCTGTCCCTGGCTTTTCTACCGAGGACCCTGACAAGCAGAGTGCAGGGTGGAGGGGCTGCAGTTTAAGGTCACGAACTGTGACCTCTCCTGGCGCCGAAGCAAAAGCAGTCTAGGGCAGTCCTGACAGTGAACAGTTTCTAAAGTGAGCAATTTCTATTGCCCAACCCCTGGCTTGGGGACAGCAGGGCAGAGGGCAGGCTTAATGAGGGAGGTGTGGGTCCAGAGGTCCTGAGTGCTTGGAGTTCCATAGACGGCCTCGCCGGCAGCCCCAAATTCTGCGTGTGACGGCATATGTGGAGCCCGGGGCTAGGCGAGACCCTGGAGCGCATGCCATGCTGGGCCCTTGGGAGACGAAAGGAGGGGCAAAGGGACTGAACCACAAAATTAACAAGAATGACGATGGATGTTTATTGTGAGGTTGGAAATTGGCCCCCATCCCCACCCCACCTCTCACCTTCACACAGTTTTATTGTTTCGTCATTTTTCTAATCCTTGGCCATCGATCTTTAATCCCTCCCTCACGCACAAACAACTTGATCAGAGACGTGAGCCGGGCACAGAAACCTCCCTGATAAGGGTGTGGAAATGTGCTGTCTCAGCAGGTCAGACAACAGAGAGGGCAGGTCTCATGTGCACCCCGGCCTCCACCGCACAAGGACTTCTCGGTCCTCTCCTCGTGGGACCACGTCGCTTCTCTGACATAAAGACGAGTCCCCCTGAGCAGCCAAAGAACGTGGGGAGAGAGGACGAATCTCCGGGCCGTATGTTCGCTATCTTTCATCCCTCTCTTTCATTTGGGCTCTACACTACTTACTCAGAAGGACGTGGCGGGCGCTGCTGTGTTGGCCAGCCTCCGAATTTGAGCTGAGGCCCCGCTACTGAAGGGCTGGAGACCCACGTCCCCTCCAAGGCACCCGGAAGAAAGGCCTGGAGACCTTCACCCCCAGAGCAGCCTGGACGCCTCTGCGGAGCACAGTGCTATGCTTGGCACCCACATGGCCCCTGGGAGTCAGGACTGCCTCGATGGCCACTTTCTTTTTATTAAGTTGATTTAAATTAGCAAGAGCAACCGGAAAACTTTTTTAGATGAATTGTTTTCACATACCGTATATGCTTGTGTGTAAGCCGAGCACATAAAAATGCCTGTTGTATTCAAGCATAAAGCATCTTGGAGAAAGCAAATGTTTTGCGGAGAATGATGATGGCAACAAATGTACAAATGTGCTTGACACAAGGATGTATGCATGGATTGTGATAAGAATAGTATGAGCCCCCAATAAAATGATTTTTTTTTTAAAAAGCATCTTGGTAGCTTCAGGAAAAATCTAATAAAAATATTGGTTTTGTAAGGTTATATGAAAAGAGAACTCATGGGTCTCCAAATGATTTTCCGACATTAGAATGTTTTTGTAAAGTTTGCATAAGATGCTTTACATAGGTTGTATCTTTCGTTTGCAGCAGTTAAAGACAGCTAGCAATAGCACTCAGTTCTAACAAGCACTCCGTAGGGTTTTATATAAAGTGCTAAATACGTTATTCACTTCTTTATGTTGGAGCCCTGGTGGCATTGTGGTAACACACTGCGCTAACCTCAAGGTCAGCAGTTCAAAACCACCAGTCACACTGCCTGGGAGAAAGAGGAGGCTTTCTACTCCCATAAAGAATCACCGTCTCAGAAACTCACAGGGGCAGTGCTACCTTGTTCCATAGGGTCGCTGTGAGTCGGCACAGACTCAGTGGCAGGGAGTTTGGGTGTTTCTGAAGTGCTTTATTACACGATCTAACTTAAACCTTAGGACAGTCCTCAAACAAAGGCTCTCATACCACTTCTGTTTTATACACGAAGAGAGGTCAAATCTCTTGGTCAAGATCACAAAGCTGGTGGGGGACAGAGGCAGCAAGGACGTGTGCTGTGGGGACTGGGGTCCTGCATTGGCGAGGGTGTTCTCCGCAGTAAGTGAGCAAGTGGAATGGACTTTAAATATGCTGCAAAACTCACTGCCAGCGGGCTGATTCTGACTCACAGCGACCTTATAGGCAGGGTAGCACTGCCCCGTGGGTTGCCCAAGCGGTAACTCTACTTGAGGCTTGTCTTTCTGCCCTAGGTGGCGGGGGGCGGGCTAGTGGTTCCGACCTGCCGACTGGGAGGTTGGCAGCCCAATGTGTTAACGATGATGCCACCAGGGCTCTGTTACACGTGGCATAAGGACAGCAGGTAAGGGGGTACTTTCTCACGGCCCTCCATATCTGCTGTCCTGTTGGGTCTCCCTGACATCCCTTGGGGGTCAGGGAGGAATGAAAGTCCCTGTTGTCAGAATGGAGGGGCCGTGGTTTGCCCAGCAGCACATAGATCCCCATCAGAGAAGAGTAAGAAATCGGGTTTTTGACTCCCAATCAGTGTCAATTCTAATTTTCTTGAGTAACGATAAGGAAGGACGGAGAGAAATTCAAATGGTGACAAGCAGATCCGTGGGGAGGTCTGCCTATTGTCCCGCACAGACTCCCAGGGCCTGGAAGGGGACCTTACCGCCCGGCTGCCATCCGATGGCTTCTGCCGTCAGGGCCTGGAGGACGCCGTGGTACTTCAACTCCGAGAGCTGCAGGGACAGCTGAGCTTAGAGTGAGGGCGGGGCCCTCCCCAGCGGGGCCCTCCCCAGCCACACCAACCATGCCCGCCATGGGCTGCGTTTCCTTGAAATGGTGGTCAGGAGGGCCTAGAGCACTGGCCTCACAGTGAGGTGCTCGGAACACTCCAAGGAGGATGTAAAAGGTGGGCTGGGTGGGGGTGGGGGTGGGGGCGGGGAGGCATTCTCAAGTGCACGCAGCTCAGTGGCCACTGGTATTCCCACGGAACTTTCTCTTCCGTTCATCCCACCAACTACCTGACCATACAGTGCTGGCCTCTGCATGTTTGGGTCCCAAGTGGGAGCTCCTGAATGACGGCCAAGGTCTGGGATGCCTGTGTCCCTGGGTTTCAGCACAGGGCCTGGCGGCATCACAGCTCAAACGAAACCCAACCCACTGCCCGTCAAGTTGAAGTTGACGGACAGCGACCCCATGGGACAGGGCAGAACTGCTCCTGTGGGTTTCTAGGCTGTAACTCTTAACAGGAGTAAAAGTCTCATCTTTCTCCCTCAGAGCTTCTGTGGTGTTGAACTGCTGACCTTGTGGTTAGCAGTCCAAAGGGTTACCCATTACACCACAAGGGCTCATCACGACCCGGTAGTACCAACGAGAGCTTGCACTGAAGGAGGCGGGGAGGTCAGACAACACGTACGGGAATCCCTCTGAAGGTGGGAAGAGCATGACTCCCCCCGTCACGCAGTGAGGCGCCCTCCACAGCCACTCTTTCAACCTGCAAGACAGAACCCGGGTCATTCCGTGGGGTCATGTCCCCAGCCAGACAGACCCAGCGCAGCACCGAGAGGACTTGTCGGCAACCCCCCATGGGGTGCAGAGCCATGTTTGAACACGTGTGTTGGGAATAAATCCGTGCAGGTGTGAACTAGAGCCCTACTAGATGCGGGCCGTGCGAGCACACACACTTGTTCCCCTTCTCACAGTCGGAGTGGAAGGACCAAACTCTCCCTGCCAACCAGTCGGCCCCGACCCACGGTGACCACACAGGACGGGGAGAACTGTAGCCCTGGACAGGAGTAGAAGGCCTGTCTTTCTCCTGAGGAGGGACAGGGGGTTTCAAACTCCTGACTTTGTGGCTAGCAGTCCATGATACTATTTTTATGTTGGGGTGAATAAACATACGAGGGGGTACACCCCCACGCCCCCAGAGCTCCTCTATTTCTTCCGTGGGTCTGTCCGACACGCCCGTCAGCATCGTTGCTGTTGTTGCCATCCAGCAGAGTCCACCTGAGACTGGTGGGGACTCACGGACAATGCAATGAAGCACTGCCTGGTCCTGCCCCAACCCGGGATTGTTTGCAAAGCGAACCCTGTTGCGATCCACAGGGATTTCCAAAGGCTGGTTTGTGGAAGTAGATCACCAGGCCTTTCTCTCCAGTTTGTCTTAGTCTCGAAGATCCACCGAGACCTGACGAGCCGGACGGCAGCATGCAAGCCTCCACTGGCAGATGGCGGTGATGTGTGTGAGGGCCATCGGCTGGGATCAAACTGGGGTCTCCTGCACGACCCTCTCAGCAGTATCTGATGATTCAGGTGCCAAACAAGTCCCTGCAGAGAGCGCAGTGCCCAGGAGTTGTTCCATGATTCTTCCTCCTCTCAGGCTCAGTCCTCTACTTCTAGGGTCCCCCACACAAAGGCTTTGTTCCAGCCTGGCTGCTGAATCCCCGGACTCGTTCCACTTCAGAACATTTCTAGGCAAGGTCTTGAGAAAGGTAACACGGTGGGCTTGGCTCCCAGACTCCCCACACTAAAGACATATCACAATAAACACAAACCCTAAGGGCAGTTCGGCCAGGGAAAGGGGCTGTGTAGCTTTCTTAGGGACTCTTCATTCAAACTACCCCCTCCACCATTCAACCTACCCCCTCCACCATTCCCACAAACCAACCTAGGAGCGCTGGTGGCATAGTGGGTGCACACTGGGCTGCTAGTTGCAAGGTTGGCAGTTTGAAACCACCAGGTGCTAGCTGAGAAACACAGGGCTTTTCATTCCTGCAAAGAGTCACAGTCTCGGAAGCCCACAGGGGCAGTTCTACCCTGTCCTGTAGGGTCACTACGAGTCAGCATTGACTCGGTGGCAGTTGAGTCCCCCATCCCTGGGAAAGAAGAGCCTGCTTGGTAAAGTAGAAGGTCAGCAAAATCGAGTTTCATCCGGCGGTACACAGGGCCACTATGAATTGAACCGACTCGAGGGAGCCTAACAACAGTGGCAACCTCCCCACCCAAGGAAATAAACCCATATCCCGTTACCCACTTAGAAAACCGCCTTTCAGGAAGGGCAATCGACTCAGGGGAACAGAGGCTCCTGCTCATAAGACAAAGAGAACTATAGTAAAATGTGTTTCCACAAAAGCTGCACCTTCTGTTGAGAGGCTCTCCCACATGCCTGTGGTCCAAACCGCCCAGACCAACACCGTCCTTCCCAAATGCAAGCGCTGCTCACCTGTCCGTCTTCCCACTCTTTCTCATTATGGAGCGAGCAAGCGTCTTCACTCATAACTCAAAAGTCATTTGTTTAAGGGAGCTCTGTCCTCGGGCTCAGGAAGGCGCTGAAAGAGGTCGCAGATCAGAAAGCTCTGGAGAGCCAGAGATTCACCTTCTTTACCTTCGAGGTCTTTCCAGGCAGTCCTTCAGACCGAGGGTAAGAAAACAGTCCCTGTGTGCCATCACCAGGGTGCAGGCGGTTTCAGCGAGTCCTGGAGAAGTCCCCGAGGCCCCAGCTCTGAGGGTAGGGAGTGAAAGAGAAAGCTGGTTTCATCATTCAGTTAGGCCTCGGTTGAGAAACATAGACTTTTAGAATCTTTCAGCTGCTGTGGACTTACTCTGCATAAAAAAGCTGCTGACCTCTTATTACCCAGGCCAGAGGAGGGAAAGGGGGTACCCTGCAGGAGTCTGGGAGCTGGGTCCTTCTGCAGAGACTTCTAGAAGGTCGTAGCACCAGCATGTGGTAGGGGCTGTTTATGATAATGAACCAGGATATTTCTCAAAGGGATGAGGTGAATAGGGGCCGCCTTGGTGGCTAGTCTTAGCCGAAGTGCTCGAGTTGTGCTCAGATTGGGAATGACGACTTAAAAGTACTAGACCACATTCTGGTGGTGGTGGAGGTGGAGGTGGAGGTGGTGGTGGAGGTGGTGGTAGAGATGGTAGAGGTGGTGGTTGTGGTAGAGGTGATGGAGATGGTGGTGGTGGTAGAGGTGGTGGTGG